TGATGAAAGACAAGAATTCAGAGTTTCAGAACATAAGGAAAATTTTAAAAAGCCACTTAATATATATGAGTGCTTCAAAAAGACTGCAAAAAGTGAAATTAAAATCAACTTTATTTTGGATAACCAAAATATATGCTGTATGAATAACACAAAATGAGTAACTGGGAATAAAACACTTTCAATATTTATTTAGGAAGAGAGAGAAAAAAAGAGAGGGAAATTGAGTGAGAGAGATACCTTTTATCTATGGTTTCCCTCACCAAATGTCTGCAACAGCCAGGACTAGGCAAAGGCAAAGGCAGGAACTCCATCTGGGTTTTCCACATGTGTTCCAGTGATTCAGTATTTGGATCATCATCCACTGCCTTCTTTAGTACACTAGCAGGAAGTTGAATTGGAAGTTGAGCAGCCAGGACTCAAACCAACACTAGGATATGAGATATGGGCCTCACAAGTGGTGGCATCACATGACTTGCCACAGCACCAGCCCCTAATAAAGAAATCAATTTCTTAGAGGCTAAACCTTGAGCAGCCTAAAGCAGAGGGCCCACCTGAAAAAGGTCATTTTCCTGCATCATAATAAGACAGTTGATATCACATGCTGAGAGAAAGCAAAAAAGGGAGCTCATAACCTCAAGCTCTTTAAAATTAGCAGTTAATCTATTCCAAAGAAAAGAAACTGTTGCCTTGGGGATGCAGTTTCTAACAAATGCTTTTTGGGAGTATGTTAATGTCCTACCATACTTTTTTTTTTTTATTTTGTAGATGTGTTGTTTAGCCTACAAGTAGATTTTCATTTTAGTAACTACTTTACATGTATAGAATTAAAACTGAATTTTTTTTTTGTTAGTTTATCATTCTTTTCACTGGCAATCCAAATATATATATATATATATATATATATATCGTTATTTTTGTAAGATTTACTTTATTTAAAACTGGATCAGAAATGGAGCAGACAAGACTTGAATAGATACCCATATGGGATGCCAGCACTGTGGACTGGGGATTTAACATACTGCACCACAGTGCCAGCCCCTATTTTATTCTTTTTTAAAAAAGAATTATTTATTTGAAAGGCAGAGTAAGAGAGAGGTGAGATAGAGAGAGACAGAGAGTGAGATCTGCCATCTGCTGGTTCACTCCCTAAATGGTCACAATTGCCAGGGTTAGGCCAGGCCAAAGCCAGGAATCTGGGACTCCATTCATGTCTCCCACATAGATTCGTGGGCCCAAGCACTTGTGCTATTTCCTGCTGCTTTCCCAGGCACATTAACAGGGATCAGCAATGTCAAAGTTTTCTTTCTTTACATGTGTGATATTCTGAATTTTACCTTGAGGATTGTAAATCAAGTGTCTCAAAAATTGTGAATATTGTTTTATTTCTCAGAAGAATGAGTTCTCTTTTACAAGAATCCAATTAAATGGCTGGATTCAAATTCTAGTTCTTTGTGGTATTTAGTAACTGAGAATTTCTCTCAACTCCAAGTGACTGTTTTTTATTGAACCCTCTGAGAGCTCCAACACATGTATAGTTAATCATTAACCCAAAATTTTGGTGGACTTTATGCCCAAATCTGGGTATTCAGTGAGTTCCCTTGAGGATTTCTCTTCCTCTTCCTCCATTTTGTGGTTGTCTTAACAGCCCTGAACTTGCTACTATAGCATCCTGACTCATTGACACTGAAGTTTTACTTTGTTCTGTGTGTGAACAGGAGTGTTCTCTGGTGAAAAGTCCAGAATGGATTTGTGTCTCTTAGAGCTTCCCTTAATCCAGTTTCTGACTTTATTTTTATTATTGTCTTTTTCAAACCTCAAATAATTGTGCCACAAATTTTCTTTAAATGTCATAATTCTTTATACTTTCATAGGCTCAATTTATTAAATCCTGTGCAATTACCATTATCCTTTTGATTTGTTAATATGAAATCTATGTCCTATACTTTCATTTGCTTTTATTCATAGAATAATTTTTCACTTATCTGGACTATTGCTTCAGATCATCTTCCATCTTATTTTTTTACTCTGTAAATCAGGTTTTTCTTGCATAGGAATAATTTGTACAAAATAAAAATAAGTTTAGCTGTTGTATTTACCTCACTTCCTTTTTGTATGACCTGTGGTCTCCTTGGTTGGTTTATTGTTGTGATTACTTAAATGTTTTGTGATTCTCAGCAGTTACCGTTGACTGTGGTCTGTTTTCAAATAGTATCATACCTCTTCATGTATAATATGTTACTTTTATTGTATCATAGTTTTAGTTATTTCTTTTGGGGTTCTATATCATGCTTAAAATACATTTGACCTCTGCATATTATAAGCTCCTCATACATTTTTATTGTATTGTTTGAGATGTTCAATGATTTATTAAATAGTTTAAAAATAAAAAAAAACTTTTAAAAATTTTAAACCAGAAGTAAATTCTAGATTATTTCAACAAAACCTGGACATTGAACCAACAGAAAAAGAAGATAAAAGTAAGTAAAATTAAACTTCTTATCTTTACAGTGATAGGGAAGATCTGGATATAGTTTACATTTCTACTTTGCTTAAGAAATACATTATGAAATTATTATTTAAATATAATCTTACCCCTTAGAAGAATAGATTTAGGATATATAATTTCTAAATAGCAAGAGAGGGAAAAAGAGGATAAAGAAAGCATAATATGGTATGCAAATTATATGACATTTTGGAATGGGTAAAACTACAGAGATGCCTAAAATATCAGTGGTTACCAGGGCTTGGGGGAAGTGCAGAGAAGAGAGGGCCAAACAAGTGGAATACTGGGGCTTTAGAAAGCAGTGAGGGGCTGGCACTGTGGTGTAGCAGGTAAGCCGCTGCCTTCAGTGCTGGCATCCCATGTGGGCATGGGTATGAATCTCAGCTGCTCCATTTCTGATCCAGCTCTCTGCTAATGGCCTGAAAAAGTGGCAGAAGATGGCCCAAGTCTTTGGGCCCCTGGACCCACGTGGGAGACCCAGAAGAAGCTCCTGGCTCCTGGCTTCAGATCAGCGCAGCTCCAGCCATTGTAGTCATCTGGAGAGTGAACCAGCGGGTGAAAGACCTCTCTCTCTCTCTCTCTCTCTCTCTCTCTCTCTCTCTCCCTGCCTCTGCCTCTCTGTAACTGCCTTTCAAATAAATAAATAAATTTTTTAAAAAAAGCAGTGAAACTATTCTGAAAGATACCATATACCATAATAACAAAACATAACATTATATGTTTATGAAAACCCACAGGAGTATAAAGCACAGAGGGAACTCATATGTAAACTGCAGACTTTAGGTAACAATAAATGTATCAATACTTATCCAATGATTATAACAAATATGCTGTACCTAATAGAGTATATTAAAACTGAGAAAACTAGGGTGTGGGAAGTGGAGCAGAGGAGATCTATGGGTAATTTTTGTGCATTTTCCTCTGTAAACCTACAACTGTTTTAAAAAGTAAAGTCTGTCAAAGACAGAAATCATGAGAGAAATCAAGAAGGAGGAAGAAGAGGAGGAGGAGAAAGAGAATGAGAAAAAGGAAAACACATATGAATCAGTTAAAGGCCTATATTCTTTTTTTTTAACTTTTATTTAATAAATATAAATTTCCAAAGTACAGCTTAGGATTACAATGGCTTTTTCCCCCCATAACTTCCCTCCCACCCGCAACCCTCCCATCTCCCGCTCCCTCTCCCATTCCATTCACATCAAGATTCATTTTCAATTATCTTTATATACAGGAGATCAATTTAGTGTATATTAAGTAAAGATTTCAGCAGTTTTTACCCACACAGAAACACAAAGTGTAAAGTACTGTTTGAATACTAGTTATAGCATTAATTCACATTGTACAACACATTAAGGACAGAGATCCTACATGGGGAGTAAGTGCATAGTGACTCCTGTTGTTGACTTAACAAATTGACACTCTTATTTATCACTTCAGTAATCACCCTAGGCTCTTGTCATGAGTTGCCAAGACTATGGAAGCCTTTTGAGTTTGCCAACTCCGATCTTATTTATACAAGGTCATAGTCAAAGTGGAAATTCTCTCCTCCCTTCAGAGAAAGGTACCTCCTTCTTTGACGACCCATTCTTTCCACTGGGATCTCACTTGGCGGAGATCTTTCATTTAGTTTTTTGTTTTTTTGTTTTGTTTTGTTTTGTTTTTTTTTGTTTTGTTTTTTGTTGTTGTTTTTTGCCAGAATGTCTTGGCTTTCCATGTAAAGGCCTATATTCAAACGTAGAACAAATCCAGCTACATGAGGTAGATATATTAATATAAGGGAAGTGAAAAGCTTACCATGTGCAAAGAGAAAGAAAGCAGAAGTGACTGTTAAAAAAAAAAAAAAAGAAAAAGAAATTGACAGGCAGAGTGGACAGTGAGAGAGAGAGACAGAGAAAGGTCTTCCTTTTGCCGTTGGTTCACTCTCCAATGGCCGCCGCGGCCGGCGCACTGCGGCCGGCGCACCGCGCTGATCCGATGGCAGGAACCAGGTACTTATCCTGGTCTCCCATGGGGTGCAGGGCCCAAGTACTTGGGCCATCCTCCACTGCACTCCCTGGCCACAACAGAGAGCTGGCCTGGAAGAGGGGCAACCGGGACAGAATCTGGTGCCCCAACCGGGACTAGAACCTGGTGTGCCTGCGCCGCTAGGCAGAGGATTAGCCTAGTGAGCCGCGGCGCCGGCCGTGACTGTTAATTTCAAAACACACTTACGGGGGGCTGGCGCTGTGGCACAGTAGGTTAATCCTCCACCTGCGGCGCCAGCATCCCATATGTATACCAGTTCTAGTCTGGGCTGCTCCACTTCTGATCCAGCTCTCTGCTGTGGCCTGGGAAAGCAGCAGAAGATGGCCCAGGTGCTTGCACCCCTGCACCCGCGTGGGAGGCCTGGAAGAAGCGCCTGCTCCTGGCTTTGGGTTGGCCATTGTGGTCATTTGCGGAGTGAACCAGCAGAAGGAAGACCTTTCTCTCTTGTCTCTCTCTCACTGTCTGTAACTCTGCCTCCTACCTCTCAAATAAATAAATAAAATCTTAAAAAAAAAAAAAAACTTCAAGAAAAGTTAGTCCTTTTTTTTAAGAATTATTTATTTTACTTGAAAGTCAGAGTTAGAGAGAGGCAGAGGCAGAGGCAGAGAGAGAGAGAGAGAGAGAGAGAGAGGTCTTCTATCCACAGGTTCACTCCCCAATTAGCCACAACGGAACTGTGCCTATCTAAAGCCAGGAGCCAGGAGCTTCTTCCGGGTCTCCCACATGGCTGCAGGAGACGAAGAACTTGGGCCATCTTCTACTGCTTTCCCAGGCCGTGGCAGAGAGCTGGATCAGAAGTGGAGCAGCTTGGACTTCAACTGGCATCCATATGGGATGCCGGCACTGCAGGCGGCTGCTTTACTCTCCATGCCACAGTGCTGGCCTAAAATTAGTTGTTTTTAAAGGGACAGTTGCTGATGTGTTACTTATATCTACCCATAGCAAGATAATCATAAGCTCTTTTGTATTATGTGATATTGTACAGAATTGAAAAACTGGTAGAATATGACACATCCACCATCACATTTAGAGATTTTAAGATTTCTCTTTCAGAATTTACTCTTTCAGAACATAAACATATAATATCAGCATAGAAGAAATTATCAACACAATTATCATTCTTCACCTGAAAGCTATTTAGAAACTTTATCAGCAAGTAAACTTGGTTTCAATTACTTATGTAACATTTACAAAAACTGATTATGTATTAAGCTGGAAAGACATTAGAGGAGAAAATATTATAAGCTTATAATGGAGTGGCATGGAAATAAACATACAAATAGAAGTATAACCATAAAGTACTAGGAAATATAGGTATTAAAATATACTATAAATCTACAGAAAATTAAATTGGTTTGGTATCAAGAATGACAAGATAGATCAATAGGATATACCAGAGAGTTAAGATATTGATCAAAAATGGGAATAAAAAGCAGTATTTCAAATGAGTTGGGCTGAAACATTAAATCATGTTTTACAATTTATTATAATCATCTGGAGTGGGACGGAATTGCGTTCTTTCTTCATCTTTACTTCAGAATAAATTCCAAGCAGAACATCTATTTAAACATCAGAAAATTAAATGATGGAAGTAGTAGGAAAAATATAGGAGTTTTGCTCTCTGCACTCTCTGCGCTCTCTGCTCTCTCTGGTCTCCTCTTCTCTCTCTTGCCTCCTCTGTTCTCTCCTTGCTAGCTCTTCTCCTCTCTCTTTCCTTCTCTCTGTTACACTCTCCTTCTCTTTTTCCTTCCTCATCTCTTCCCTCTGGCCTGCTGAGTTTTCCCCAATAACTCCTTTCCCTGAAAAAAAAAAAAAGAAAGAAAAGAAAAATATAAGAGTTTTTAAAAAAATTAAGGAAGGCCTTCCTAAGTAAAACATAAAATAGAGAAGAGATAAAAATAGATTGATAAAATTAATTTCTATAAGGAAAAAATCCAAATCTAAGCATTTTTTTCATAATATGCATTTTCCATTAAGTTTTTGATGAGCCCTCATAGTTTATCATGGATAGGTTTCAATTTTTTTGGTACCAAAATGAATTTATACTGTAATTCCATTTTTCTATGAGCTTTCTGAAATCTTCTCATATCTTCCAGCAGATTAATCTGGGTTTGTTCATATAGCAACAGAATTCTTTTCTTTTTTTTCTTTTTTTCTTTTTTTTTTTTTTTTTTTGACAGGCAGAGTGGACAGTGAGAGAGAGAGACAGAGAGAAAGGTCTTCCTTTGCCATTGGTTCACCCTCCAATGGCCGCCGCAGCCGGCGCGCTGCGGCCAGCGCACCGCGCTGATCCGATGGCAGGAGCCAGGAGCCAGGTGCTTTTCCTGGTCTCCCATGGGGTGCAGGGCCCAAGCACCTGGGCCATCCTCCACTGCACTCCCTGGCCACAGCAGAGGGCTGGCCTGGAAGGGGGGCAACCGGGACAGAATCCGGCGCCCCGACCGGGACTAGAACCCAGTGTGCCGGCGCCGCTAGGCAGAGGATTAGCCTAGTGAGCCGCGGCGCCGGCCTGTATAACAACAGAATTCTAAGAGGAGCAAACAGACAAGCTCCAACACATAAGTACTTTTCAAAAAAAATGCTTATTTATTAATTTTAATTGACTTGGAAGACAGAGTCACAGACAGAAAAGGAGACAAAGGGAGATCTTTAATCTGCTGGTTTATTTCCCAAATGTCCACAAGAGCTGGAGCTGGGCCCGACCAAATCCAGGCCTCCCATATCAGTGGCAGGGGCCCGAACACTTGAGCCACCTTCTGCTGCCTCCCAAAAAGCATCAGCAGGAAACAGGATCAGAAGCATTAACAGCTGGGATGTGAATCAGCACCCCAACATGGGATGCAGGCATTCCATAAAGTAGCTTAACCCACGGTGACACAATGTCCATTCCAACAAAAACTTTTAAAGTGTCCATATATACAAAGTTTGCTACTATTTCATTAGCCAAAGTAAATCATATTTACAAGCCTACAGTCAGTGGTGGTATGCACTACCAAAGGACCTTCATATAAGGAGTAAGCAAATTGGGACCTTTACTGTGATCAGTCCAACACAATGAATTATTCAATAAATGATGCAAGGAAAACTGAACCATTTTGAGGCAAAGTAGGTTGAACTCCAACACTGATCCAAATCAATTCCATACATATTAAAACTTGAATATAAAGATTATCATATCTCAATAATAAAGTTGACAAACAACAATGTAGAAAAATATTTGCAACAGATATGGCAATGGGTTAAGGGTATAACAATAATAAACTTTTTTAAATTCCATTTTCCCATGAGCTTTTTGAACTACCCTTGCATATAAAGAGAGATTAGAAACAAACAAGATAAAGATAAAGCAGTGAAGAATATAAATGGAAACATTAGAGAATACAAGTGGACTCTAAACACAGAAAAACATGCTCAGCATCAGTGATGACCAAAGAAATGCAAGGGAAAACAAAACTGAGGCACCAATTTTGGACAAATGGTTTGATACAATGATATGTTAATGTTAAGTGCTAAAGAGTTGATTGGAATATAAATTGGAAAAACACTTCAGATGGGTAAATGAACAAAAATGTTCATGTGAAGGGGCTGGCATTGAGGCTCAGGGGGTTAAGATTCCACTTGTGGAGCTGACATCCCACACAGGCGTGCTGGTTCAAGTCCTGGCTGCTCCACTCCTGATACAGTTCCCTGCTAAGCATCTGGGAAGGCAGCAGAAGAGGATCCAAGGACTTGGGGCCCTATAATCCATGTGGAAGATCAGAATTCCTGACTCCTGGCTTCAGCCTAGCCAAGACCTCGTTGTTAGCCGCCATTGGGGAGCAAATGGAAGATGAGTAGTACCAGTTAAGAGTTACCTATGTGAACTAAACAAAAAGGAATAATCTTAGGTAATTCCTTAAAATCATTTAGCACATCCACTAATGCCAAAGCTGATGTCAGCATTGGAAAAATAAGTCTTCTATCTCTTCAGGAAAACAGAATGTGCCAAGGAAGGTGGTTTTCATCAAAGACCAAGAACCCCATATTCTAATGGCTTAGGCATAAGTCCAAATTGAGAAGATGATTAATTTTTAAATGTGGAAATAATTGACATGAAAAAATAAAGACCCCATTAAGTTCAAGGGCATTTATTAAATATGAAAAAGGGTCAAATTCAAGGACATTTATTAAATATGGAAAACATTGAGAGATAAGTAAGGAGTGCTGGTTGGCCACTGGGCTGAACTGATAGTGACCCCAAATGGCCACTGTATTTTGAAGTTGCATATAATTATCAACTACCCAGTGAGGACAGTGCTCATTTTGAAGATTCATCATAGATTTGGGGAAAACTATCTCACCTTTTAAGGTTTTTAAGAGGAAATTTTTACTGCAAAACACAAATTTTGAACTCCAAACCCTAGTTTCCTCTTCTGAAAAATGGGCAAAATGTGATTCACATGATGGATGCTGTAAGGATTAAATGAGACAATATAGACACATACGGGCTGGAATGTCATAATGATCACATGACTTCTCGTTCTTGTGAGGATGTCTAGGCTCTCTTCTGGCTGTTCATACCTTCCTCATCACTCACAACCCACGTCCTACATGAACTCACTTTTGCTTCTCATTTAATGTCTGTTACACGAGCTACGTACATGCTTGAAGGATGGGGAGAAAGGCTTCGGTTCATTTAACAATTAGGTCAGAGACTCCTGTTCTTTTGGGCATGCCCTTTGCTCGTTAACTAGATTAGAAGTACCCTGTGCTCTGAGGCATTGTCTTGAACTCCTGTTTCTCCCACAACACCCAGCATACAGTAACATTTACTAAGTAATTATGAGATTATATTGTTTGATTGGTAGAGAAATTTTATGTAACACCTACAATGTTTGAGTAATTCTTTTTTTAAATTTTTAAATTTATTTGAAAGACAGACATAGATCTCTCATAGGCTAGTTCATTCTCAAAATCTTCCTGCAACAGACGGGCCTGGGCCAGGCCAAAGTCAGGTGGCTGGATCTAAGGGATGGTGGCTACTCATAGTTTTTGGTGCCAGGAGCCAGCCCTCAGGATTTGCCCTTACTATACAGGGAATGGACAGCCCCTCTCAACCTGGGTGTTACAGGTGTCAGGGCAACTCCTCAGAGGCACAGGCATCCACAGCCCTGCCTCGACCCTGGCCTGTACCCTCTCACTAGGGGTCGAGGTCAACAAATAGTTACAGCAGGGAGAGCCAGGGAGGGACCTGTCCAGTCCTGTGGAGGAAGAAGCCTCCCACAATAGTCCCAGTTCCAGTCAACAGTCAGCAAACCATCTATCCATTGAAAGTGAAAACAAATGGCAGGTAGGCAGGAAGAATAAGGCTGGTGCTGCCCCTAGCCTCCATCCAACACAGGAGGAACAGGGCTGAAATGCCCCCACTAGAGTGGGGCGAAGTGAGGGAAAGGAAGTCCCCACCTATGTAGCACCCCCACAGCCCAGGGACTAGGGAAAAGGCAGCTATTCAGTGCTATAGCTCCTGGCTGGGCTGGGCCCCAGGGAAGCTTGGAAGAAAGCAGGCCAGGGCAGGAACCAGGCAGGAGGATTTTCTGAGCAGTGTTTGCCCTGCAATGCTTCTGGCAGAATGGCTGAGGAGGCTGGCCTGTTAACTCTGCCCTTAGCCCTTGCCAGCCACCAACCACCTCTCGGCACACTGCAGGACAGCCCTGTTCACAGAGGAAGGTTCTGGGCCACTGGAGTTTATTCAGTGCTGTGGCCCCAGTCTGAGCTCCACATGGGAAGCCTTCACTGTGAGCTTGGGGGTTTCATGCTGGGGCAGGGGTGCTTGGTCTGCCACCCCCAGGCTCACACGAGAAGATCACAGGGAAATGCATGGGGATAGGGTGGGGCGGGGAAAGAATCCAGCTTCACGGTGCCCTTGGTCATCACAGTCCTACACACCCTCCTCAGCATGGCGCACTTCTGTCCGCTCCTGGTATGACTGCCTCCTCCAGAACTCATCAAGTCCCCATCCTCATCACAGAACACAGAGCCACACACGTGAATAAGGAGAGGGGCACGGTTTGATCTCTAGGCTGCACTAAAGCTTCCTTAGTGCCCACCTGCCGAGGCCCAGAGCTCTGGAGCTGCTGGCGCTGTGTCAGGGTCGCTCTGCTCTCAGTGCAGTGGGAGCCACCATGCACTGCACTGTTCACTGGCAGGTGCTACAGTCTGGGGCTGCAGGCCAATTTTTTTGTTTTTGTTTTTTAAATAATTGAAGTATCTATTTTTTGAACATACATTATAAACTTTGACTAAAAAATGATTGATTAGGATAATGAAAGAAAGGAATTTTTAAAAATCTATTTCCAGAAATTATATGTTGTATACTAATTTGGTTTACTAATAGGAAATGTTTCAACTAACCTAGTGAAAAAGGCAAAAAGACCAGTCTAATCATGGTATCAACATTTTAGTAATTATTACATAATAGCTATACCTCATTGAAAAACAAGTATTTCACCCTAAAGGTATGAATTTTTTGTTTATTTTTAAAGATTTATTTATTTATTTTGAAAATCAGAGTTACACAGATAAAGATGGAGAGATGAGAGACAGAGAGACAGAGTCAGAGAGATTTTCCATCCATTGGTTCATTCCCTAGATGGTCACAATAGCCAGGGGTGGCCCAGGGCAAAGCCAGGAGCTAGGAGCTTCATCTGGGTCCCCCACATGGGTGGTAGGGGCCCAAACAGTTAAGCCATCTTCCACTGCTTTTTTCCAGGCCATTAGCAGAGAGTTCGATCAGAAGTGGAGCACACAGGACACGAACCAG